GAAGCACATGTTTTGTAAAGCGAATAAATCCCCTGATGTGTCTCTGCAAGTGTCACAGGCATTCTTACAGCTGACCAATTCTCCATCCCCCGTGCTGGGTTTCCTGGGGGAGAACCCCCAGCTTAGACAAGTGCAAGGAGGCCATGACACCTGGGGAAACTTGACTGCTTCCCTCCTCACAAAACCTGTCAGACAGAGGGTATGGAGAGTGGACCACCTTTATCTCAGTCCACTTGGGGTGCTATCACAGAATGCCACAGACCGGCTGGCTTCTAAATAACACACATTCAGTCCTCACAGTTTGGGAGGCTGGAAGTCCAAGATCAAGTCTCCAGCAGAGTCAGTGCCTGGTGAGGGACGCTTCCTGGCTCATAGATGACCATCTTCTTGCTGTGTCCTCACGTGGAAGAAGGAGCAAGGAAACTCTGTGGGGTCTCTCTTATAACAGCACTGATCCCATTCCTGAGACCTTTACCCTCATGACCTACCCAACTCCTAAAAGCCCTACCTCCTAATACCATCACATCTGGGATCAGGATTTAAAACGTGAATTTCGGAGGGACACAAACATTCAGACCATAACAACTTTGCTCTCTCAAAGATTTTTTAATGGCAGGAGAATAAAGTGTTTGAGCATTACAGCCCTTCTGTGGCCATTGTACCCATTTCCCAGGTAGGCAAACCAAGGCCAGTGTGAATGCCTGGGCTTCCTTGCTCATATTCAGAGGCTGACTCCATGGGCTTTTGATCAAAAGCAAAGTTCTTTCTCTGCCAGCTTCCAAGATACCCCCTGCCCTGTCACTCCCACTACCCTGAGTTCCTGGCCAGCTCAGAGTCCCTGCACAAGAGGAGGGATACTGCTCCTTGCTAGCCCTGTGCCCACCCCTGTACGTCTCTCTGAGATGCTGGGCTCCTCCTCTGCTGCCCACATGCTTATCCCTGTAATAAAATACTTCTCCAATTAGTTCTAATTTTAACTATCATTAAGACCCACATCTCCTATAAGGCTGGCAATCAGACACCCCAGGAATGTGCCCACCTCACCATCTCTCCTGGTAGCAGAGGCCTCCAGCCAGGGAAGGAATGCTCACTGATGCCTTGGGCACCCTGCTCTGCTGGTAACCTTCCCTGAGGTTGTGACCTTCTCTGGGCCTCTCCTCCATCATCTGAAGTGCCTTCCTCATGGGATTGACTGGCAAAAGATATTGGCACTGGGGGGCTAGAAGCCTTTTTTGTGGGCCAGCAAATGGCTGGCAACTTCCGCAGGGTTTCATTTTGTCTTCCCAGCAGATCCAGGTATGAGACTTGGAGAGGACCACAGACCTATGGACTGTTCAGCCACCATTTGAGGGAGTTCTGTGCAGGAGGACAGCTGCAGATATCACATCTATCATTCCCATGCTGGCCAAGGCCTTGTTTTGCTTCCCTTACCTGAAGGATTTGGGCGCTGGAGCAAAAACTGCTCCAAGTTCCTGGGGTGAGGGTGGGAATGGATGAGGGAGGGGCAGACTGGGACCTGGCCTGGGCATGTGAAATGGCCTCGGCATGCCTGAGAGGCCAGTCCTGCATCTGGTCCAGCCTTGTGCCCAGTGGAGCAAGGCACTACACAGCATCAGGAACCACCCAGTCATGGAACACAAAGGCCTCCAGAGTGGCCAAAACAGTGGAGGTGGAAGGCCCTGCTCTAATTCCTGGACACCATGGAGCCTCCCTCTTTCTGAGGCTGAAGAGAGACAGCCTGATGATGACAGAATTGGAATGGTCAAGATTTCATTTCTTGAACGAAAAATCCCAAATGTGATATTTCTTGCAGCTATCAATTTTGGTATAGCATCACAATCTAGTGATAGCACCATCAGTCCCACTGAGGCTCACAGAGTTTGTGATTATTTAAAGATGTTTTTCTGGAAACTGGTAGAACAGGGACCAGGCCTTGATTTGTTCATGTCAAAGCTTTCTGCCTTTTTTATGCCTCTTTGGCTGGCAAGACAACTTGGGGGATAGTGGAACAATTAAGGCCTAGTTGGGCAAGTGGCACAGCTAGAACGTGAGGGGAGACTCCAAGTCTGTGCTCTGAGACTCTAGTCTGCCCTCTTCTTGGTCCAAGCTGCCTGTGGCCCAACCCAGCCTTTCTTCTCCATCCTGGGACCACCCACACAAGGCCTCCAGGCCCTCTTCTGAGTGTGACGTTCTGGCCTGCTCACCAGATTCCCACAGCCCCTGCTCAGTTGCAGAGCTTGTCCTGGACCTCCTGAGGTTGTGTCTCAATCCTAGATGTGACAGCAGGGACAGCCCTAGCCCTGCCCAGGCCCTGCCATGGGCTCCTTCACCCCATGGGGTCTGGGCCTGGATCCTGACATACTCCGGCTCAGTCTGAGACTCAGTGGGTGGGGTCATCTTGGTATCAGGAGATCTAGGGTCAAGTCTGGGTTCTGCCAGTGACTACATGGCCGTGGTCAGTCACTTGTCTTCTTTGGACCTCAGTTTTCTCATTCTGCAGTCATTATGGTCCTAGGAGGTAGGCAGTCATGAAGAAATGAGAAACCCTTGTTCTTCTGCTCATGAGCTGTGTGTCCTCAGGCCTGAGCCCCCCAGTTTCCTTATGAATGAAATGAGAAGAATGAAGCCCCTTCCTTTGACTCTTAAGGGAACTAACATTTACTGGATGCCTCTAGGGCTGAGGCTGTGCTAAATGCTTCCCAAAGCATTTTCTCCCATGGATCCTTTATCACAGTGCTAAGATTTGAATATGAGCTGAAAATGAAATGAAATGGTTTTTTAAAAAGTCTTTCCTATGATATCCCTTTGCAGCCCCTCCTGGTCCGTGAGTCTAAGGACACAGTCACAAATGGCTTTATAGAAGAGGTGGCACCTGGTCTGTTCCTGGAAGGATAGGTAACACCCCTTTGCCTGTAGGCTGATGGGCAGTGTCCTGCTGTCTGGAAGTATTTGCTCCGTCTTTGTTTTCCTGGGGTCTGATGGGCAAGGGTTTAGGCAGGCCACTGTGGTCATCAGCCCTGAGACGCTTGGTGCCCTGTGCTTCCCTCTGGCAACTTGGTGTTGAGGACAAGGGGCCCAGGAGGCTTCAGTGTGGCATGATGGGAGGAAACAGGAACATGCTCTCACATGGGTCAGGGGACATGGCTGACTTTCTGTGAGACCTTGGCCAACTGGCCTGGAATCTCTGGGCTTCAGTTTTCTTTACTAAAATGCAATCGTCATAAAAGGAATAAGAATAGTCAACATTTCTTTTTTTTTTTAATTTTTTTTATTGATTATGCCATTACATTTGTTCTATTTCCCCTCCTCCGTTCCCCTCCACCCTGCACACCCCTCCCCCACCATTCTCCCCCCTTTAGTTCATGAACACGTGTCTCAGGTTCTTTAGATTCTATATTTCTCCTACTATTCTTACCCTCCCCCTATCTATTTTCTATCTACTGTCTATGCTACTTATTCTCTGTACCTTCTCCCCCCTTCTCCTTCTCCCACTCCCCTGTTGCTAACCCTCCATGTGATCTTCATTTCTATGGTTCTGCTCCTGATCTACCTGTCCTCTTAATTTCCTTTTGTTTTAGGTGTGGTTGTTAATAACTGTGAGTTTGCTGTCCTCACTGTTCATCTTTTTTATCTTCTTTTTCTCAGGTAAGTCCCTTTAACATTTCATATAGTAAGAGCTTGGCGATGATGAACTCCTTGAATTTGATCTTATCTGGGAAGCACTTTATCTGTCCTTCCATTCTAAATGAAAGAAAACTTTGCTGGATAGAGCAATCTTGGTTGTAGGTCTTTGGATTTCATGACTTGGGATACTTCTTTCCAGCCCCTTCTTGCCTGTAAGGTCTCTTTTGAGAAATCCGCTGACAGTCTGATGGGGACTCCTTTGTAGGTGACTGTCCCTTTAGCTCTTGCTGCTTCTAGGATTCTCTCCTTCATTTTAATTTTGGCTAATGTAATGATGATGTGCCTTGGTGTGTTCCTTCTTGGGTCCAACTTCTTTGCGACTCTCTGAGCTTCCTGGATTTCCTGGAAGTCTATTTCCTTTGCCAGATTGGGGAAATTCTCCTTTATTGTTTGTTCAAATAAGTTTTCCACTGGTGGCTGTGCCTTTCCCCCTTCTGGTACCCCTATAATTCAGATGTTGGAGCGTTTAAAGATGTCCTGGAGGTTCCTAAGACTCCTCATTTTTTTGAATTCTTGTTTCTTCATCCTTTTCTGTTTGGTCATTTTTTTCCTCTTTCTGGTCCACTCCTTTGATTTGAGTCCCAGTTTCCTTTCCATTACTATTTCTTTTCTGTGTATTTCCCTTCATTTCAATTAGTTTAGCCTTCACATGTTACTCTAATTTGTGACTAAAATCAACCAGTTCTGTGAGCATCCTGATCACCAGTGTTTTGAACTGCGCATCTGAAAGTTTGGCTATTTCTTCATCGCTTAGATATATCGGCTTTGGGGCTCTGAATTGTTCTTGAGCCATGTTTTGATCTGTTCGTGCTTGTTACCTATGAGGAGAGGCGCTTTGGTGTTTACCAGGGCGGGGCCACCGAGGTCACAGGTTTGAAGCTGTATGTGGGGGCGGGGTCAGAGAGGGAGCAATGGTGGTCCTCTCCGCTCGCCCAGTCCACCTCACTGCTCGCCCCCACCTGCCTATCCTAGCGCAAATGTGTGGGTCTGCCGCCCTGCACCAGTCACTGAGGCCTGCGAGATCTGTCTCAACGCTCGCCTCTTCACTGGTTTATTTGCCTGCAAATGAGCGACCTACTGCAGACAGCCAGCAGCGCCCCTTCCCTGGGTTCCGCCCGGAGCTAGCTCGCACCTGGGATCCACGCCCCCAGCTGCCTGTGCACCGCCCAGATCTTTTTTGGCGGACTGGCTCCGCTGCTGGTTTCGTCCCTCTCACCGGTTTAGCTGAGTGGTCCGTTGCTTCCAAACTCCGTATTTGATTTTCTGTGGGTTTTGATTGTGTTTATTATTGTTAAATCTTTGTTGTTTTTAGATTTGGTTGTGCGAGGACGAAAAGTGTTCCCACCTACGCCTCCATCTTGGCGGATGTAGTCAACATTTCTTAAGCACTTACAATGTGCCAGGCACTGAGCAGAGAGATTTACTTCTATTATCTCTTTAATCTTCAATCATTTTATGAAGGAATCTTGATATGATGCCTACCTTCTGGTAAGTGGAGTTTTGGAAGGGCTGAATGGTCACCCCCAGGCCCTGCGGCCAGTGAGAGGCAAAGACAGGGTCTGCAGCCTGGAGGTCTGACTGGAGTCCTGGAGCTACGAAGGGCAAACACTGGCAAGCAGGTGAAGGGGCTTCTGAAATTGTCAGCACAACCACTACAACAATTGCTAATGTTTGTATTGTACTCTAGCCAAGCACTTTATAAGAACCACCTCATTTCATCAACAAAACTGCAAGAAGACATGATTTTAAGCTCAACTTTGTAGAGAAGGAAGCAGAGACAAGTTGAAGAACTTGGTCAAGACCATGAGCTAGAGTTGGAATCCAAGGAGTTTGACCTCGAAGTCTATAAGAGATTAATGTAAATAAACCACCTGACACATAGAAAATAGCATACAGATGGTGCTCAATAAATAATTGCCAAATTAAACTCAAATAAAAACCATAAGGAATCAGGTCTTTGGGTCCTGTGGTCCTGGCTTTGCCATTTCTGGGGGCTGCCTCTGCTAAGGCGAGGGGAAAAGGCCGCCCCAGGGCACCAAAACCAACTTGGAATGGTGCTCACTCACATCCTTGAGGGGGCCTTTTGCAGCATCCAGGCCCCACCCTTTTCTCCTCTGAACACTACATTCTTTTTTTTAAATCCTCCCCTAAGGATGTTCATTGATTTGAGAGAGATAGAGGCGAGAAAGAGAGAGACAGGCAGGGGATAGAGAGAAAGAGAGAGAGGCATGGATGTGAGGGAGAAACATCTATTGGATGCCTCCCATACGCGTCCTGACTGGGGATCTAACCTGCAACCTTGTTGGTGCATGGGACGATGCTCCAGCCAACTGAGCCACCCATCCAGGGCAACATTACATTACTTTTCTCCTTCCAATCATTCCTTTAAAAAAAGTCAATTTTATAGAGGAATAATTTACAAAATGCATGCTTTTAACTATATAGTTCATGGAGTTTGGGCAGATGTAGACAGTAGGATACACACTGTCACATTCAAGATTTGGCACATTTCCATCGTTCTGCAAAATTTCTTCATGCCCCTTCAGTCGATCTTTCTCTGTGCTCCTACTCAGGGAACCAGTGGTCTGATTTCTATTGCTATTGGTTAGTTTTGTGTGTTCTACAGCTTCCTATAAATGCAATTAAGCATATGTATCCTTTTATGTAGACCCATTCATGCTGCACCACGTATCGATAGTTTGTCCCTCTCTTGCCGAGCAGTATTTTAGTGAATGGGCATACCACTGTTCGTTTATCTGTTCACCAATGGATATACATTTGGGTTGTTTCCAGTTTTAGGATTTTCTGAATGAAACTGCTATGAAGACACATGTGAAAATCTGAATGAACATGTTTTTATTTTTCTTGGGTCAATGCTTAGAAGGGGAATTGTTGGATTATGTGGTAAGTATATGTTTTACTTTATAAGATGCTGCCAAGCTCTTTTCCAAAGTGACTGCAGCATTTTAGCCCCCAGCAATGCATGAGAAATCTACCTGTTCCATAGCCTTGCCAACATCCAGCATTCTCAGTCTTGGTACTTTTAGCCATTCATCAACTGTGTAATGGCTTCTCTTTTGTTGGTTTAAATTACATTTCCATGATGACTAATGATGTTAAAGATGTTGAGCATCTTTTTTTTAAGATTGTTAAAATGGTTTATTTCCTTATGAAGTGATCATTTATTTTTCAACTTTAAATTTTTAAATTACGTTTTATTGAGCACCTTTTTGTGGGCATATCTCTTCTTTAACAAAGCATACATTTGAATCTTTTGACCAGCTTTACTGGGTCATTTGTCTTATTATTGAATTATAACTCTTCAAGTCTAGATATGGGTCTTTTGTCAAATATGGGTATTGAAGATATCTTCCTACTTTTAATGGCTTTCCCTTTCATTTTTTAAATGGCATCTTTTGAAGAGCAAAGTCCAATTGACCAAGTTTATGTTTGCATGGTTAGTGTTTTTTATGACTTATCAATAAGTTTGCAAAGACTTTCTCCTAAGTTTTCTTTGAGCTGTTTTATAATTTTAGCTTTTTATGTTTAGATGCCTGGTTTATTGGAGTTATTTTTGTGAACAGAGTAAGGTAAAGTTGAGCTCCTTAAGACTACCTGTTTGTTTTACTATAATTGTTACTATTGCTTACTTTGTTCTTTGTTTTTGTTTTTTGTCTCTCACTCTTTTCCCACCTTTTGTGGTTTTAGTCAAGCATTTAATATGATTTCATTTTCTCCCCTTAATATATCAGCTATACCTTTAATAACCTTTTTTAGTGGTTGTCTTGCTTGCAATGTGTTTATAACTAATCCAAGACCACTTTCAAATAAGAGTACACTGCTTCACAGGCAGTACAAATGTCTTATTGTAACAAATTGTTCTCAATCCCTCCACCCACCCTTTGTATTATTACTATCATTTCTTTCACCTATGTAGAAGCTTTAATCATCAAATACATTGTTGCTATTTTATAGAACAAAAAATTATCTGTTGGATCAATTAAGAATAAGAAAAATGAAAGTTTATTTTTTATTTTCACTTATTCCTTCTCTAATGCTCTCCCTTTCTTTAGGGAGATCTCAGTTTCTGATCTACATAATTGTGCTCTCTGAAGAACTTCTTTCAACATTTCTTGCAAGGCAGGTCTGCTGGCAATGAACCCTCTCAATATTTATTTCTCCTTTGCCTTTGAAGGATTATTTGGCAGGATACAGAATTCTAGCTTGGTGATTTTTTTTTTCTCCCAACACTTTAAATATTTCACTTCATTCTCTTCCTGCTTGGATGGTTTCTAAGAAAGCCTGATAAAAATCTTTGGTCTTCTGTACAAGAGGGTTGTTCCTTGCCCCCACCCCAGCTTCTTTTAAAACTTTTCATGTCTGGTATTTTTCACTTTGAATATGATATGCCTAGGTGTAGTGTCTTGGAATTTATCCTTCATAATTGTCTTTCTTGGAGCTTCTTGGAATATGTGGCTTGGTGTCTAACATTAATTTTTAGAACATTTCAGTCATTATTGGTTCATTTATTTCTTTAGTTCTTGTTCTTCTCTGGTAGTCCATTGTATATGTACATTATACTTTTTGTAGTTGCCCCGTAGTTCTTGAATATTCTGGGATTTTTTTTCAGTTTTTTTTCTCTTTATTTTTGAGCTTGAGAGGTTTCTGTTGAGATTTCCTCAACATTAGAGATTATATGCTCAGGCTGTGAATGAACTCACCAGAGAGATTCTTCATTTGTGTCACAGTGCTTTTGATTTCCAGTATTTTATTTTGATTCTTTTTAGAATTTCTATTTCGCTGCTTATATTACTCATCTGTTGTTTCATGTTACCTACTCTTTCTAGTAGAGCCCTTAGTAGATTAATCATAGTTTGTTTTAAATCTTTGGTATCACAATTCCAATATTCCTAAAATATCTGGGTTTGGATCTAAGGCTTTTTTTGTCTTTTCAAGCTGTTTTTCCCCTTGCATTAAGTTTTTATTTTTTTTTAATTGAAAGCTAGACTTGGCATAGTAGATAAAAGAAATGTAGCTCTGGTTTCCACAGAGGGTTTTAGAGTTTTCTGTTCCAGCAAGTTGGGATTCTCTGTATCTGCCTTAACTTCCTGTCTGTCTCCACAATTTTAGAGGTAGCAATTTGCCTCATGACCACAATTCTCTAACAAATCTATGAAGAATTGTTGACTTTTAGTTTGTTTAGCTTTTTTTTAATGTTATAAAGATAGATGTGTTGATTACCAAGCTCCTTACATGCAGGCTGGAAATTGGAAGTCTGATACCCATTTGTTTTAACCCATTTTCTTACAAACATAATCCTCTGTCCCCTGAATAGTCACCTTTGTCAAAAAAAATCAATTGATTGCAGGTGTGTGGGCCTGTTCTGAGACTTTAGTTCATTTTGTTGAGCCCTATATATTCCTTATACTAATATCACATTGTATTGATCACTGTAACTATATAGAAAGTCTTGAAATCAAGCAATGTGAGTCTTCCAAATTTGTTCTCCTTTTTCAAATTTGTTTTGGGTACTATAGATCTTTTTCATTTTCAAGTAATTTTTAGAACCAGCCTGTCAATACCTATTTTTTTTAAAAAGCTTGTTTTAATTTTTTGTTGGTTTGTAGTTTTCTTGTAATATTTTTGTCTGCTATTGGTGTCAGGGTAATGCTGACTTTATGAAAAAGTCGGGAAGTGTTCTATTTTCCTCCATTTTTGAGAAAGCTTATGTTTGATTAATATAATTTTTAATTTAAAGGCTCGATAACATTTTCTTTGTAATTACATGGTCCTGGAATTTTCTTTATAGTGAGACTTTATGAATTAAATTTCTGTAAGATATCAAACTATTGATGTTTTCTGTTTCTTCTTGTGTCAATTTTAATCAATTTGTTTTTCTTTCTAGAAATTTAATCTATCTCTTTAAAGTCACCAAGGTTACTATCAGAAAGTTGTACATAATATTCTTTTATTCTCTTTTTAACATCTGTAAAATTTGTAGTGATGAACCAATGTTGATACCTGATATTGATAGCTATGCTTTATTTCTTGTTTTCTTGGTCACATTAGCTAAAGGTTTAGTGATTTTTATTGATAGTTTCAATAGCATAAGCTATTGCTTTCACTGAGTTTCTTTAAGTACATTCATTTTCTAGATCACTGATTTTTGCTCTTTATTATTTCCTTCCTTCCACTTACTTTGGTTTTAATTTAGTCTTCCCAACCCCAAAATGTTTTGTGAAGAATCCATGGTGTGTTGAAATCCCCAAGACCACTCTCAGATTCAGTGATTTTATAGGGGGACTTACAGGACTCAGCATATAGTCATACTCATTGCTAAGATTTTATACAACAAAATACACAAAGCAAAACTGCAAAGGGAAAAGACACATGACGTAAAGTGTGAAGGAAACTAGACCTCACTGTGGAGCTGCACAGATTGCAGTCAGTCCCCCAGCAAAGCGTCAGGACACATGTGTAGAAGCCGTCTACCAGAGAGGTTCATCAGAGACGCAGTGCCACATGTTCCCTGGGGGCTCGCCCAGAAGCTCCTCCTGCCTCACACACACCAACGTTCTAGACTCCCAGAAGGGAAGTGGTGTTCAGCATAACCACATTGTTTACATAAACAGTTGAGGTACAGTAAGCCACTTTATGAAAAAATTATGGAAACCCTTCTGAAATGTATGTTCCCAGAATTCAGTCAAGGGTCAACCTTGTTAAGCCAGCCTTTCTAAGGATATCAGCCTCAGGCTTACTCTGTTAACTTTTTTTTTTTCATATAAATGTTTAAGACTTTTATTTAGTCTAATATAAGCATTTAAAGTTATACATTGCCCTCCAAACTCTCTTTTAACTGTATCATACAAATATTGATCTATTATGTTTTTATATTTGCATTCAGTTCCAAATATTTTCAAATTTCCCTGTGATTTCTGTGGCTGGTCTTCAGCTTCATAGATCCCTTTATCTGCAGTGTCTTAGCTGCCTTTAATTCCTTCCTGTAAAGGTTTTTTTTTTTTTTTTGTGGATTGTGTTTTTCAGCTTTAGATGTTCTGTTTGTTTCTTTTTTATGGTCTCCATTTTGCTCTTCATTATATTTTCTTTAAAATCTTCAAGTATTTTTATAATAGCCATTTTAATCTCTTTGTCTTCTAATTCCATAATTTCTGTCATTTAGCCCCGTTCCTATTGAATTATTTTTCTTCTCATTGTGGGTTCCATTTTCCTGAACCTCTAGAAGTTTTTGTTTGGATGCTGGACATTGTGATGTTACATTGCTAAGCCTTTATGGTATTTTTAAAAGATTATTAAAGATACTGCTTTGATGGGCAGTTAGTTTACTTGTGGATCAAGTTGCTCCTTTTGAGGCTCATTTTTAAGCTTTTGTTAAGTTGATCAGTGAGGCCTCTCCTCTAACTTGTTGGAACTCAGTCTCTCATCCCTTTGTGAGCTCTGGCAGTTGTTAAACTCATAGCTCTCTGGTAGTAATTATTTCTTTAATAGTTGGTCTTTGCTTGGCCCCATCAAGTCTCATCCTGGACATGCACAGTTTATAATTCATTCTGAGGCTCAAGAGGACTCACACAGAGATTTCTGGAGCTTTCTCTGCTTAGCTCCCTCCTCTCTGGTATTCTGCCCACAACTTGCAGCATCTTCAGCCTCCCTGTGCTCCAATCTCTGTCTCATTAGCTCAGTGAGACTGCTGTGCTCCACTCGGATTCTCTCTCTTTGTTCGGTGGCCTGGAACATGTCTCTAATTAGAAAACTGAGACAATCACAGAGCTTACCTAATCTGTTTCCCTTCTCTCAGGAATCACTGACCTGTGCTTCTCTGTGAAAATAGGTGTTTCTATGTTTGCTCTGTTTTCTGTTTTCCTTTCTTTCTTTTTAAATTAAAAAAAATTCTTATGGTGATAAGGCTAATCTGATTACTAGCTACTCTGTCGCAGCTAGAAGTTGACATTATTGATTCCTAATCCAATGTTCATGGTACGTAGAAGTTCATCAGGAAGAAGTGTAGAGGAGGGCATCTTAGGAGAAGGAAGGACAGGTGAAAGCTGTGTCTGAGGCAAGTTCAGGGATAGTATATGTGGTGTGTGCCAGGGTGTGTGTGTGCAAAGGATGTGGTATGTTGTAAAGGACCTTGAACAACAGTTTAGGAATTTGCACATTATCCTGAAGGTCTCGAGGAGGCTCAAGGTAGTAATTATAACTATAATAATAATAACATGTAACTGATTTATTTTCATGTGCCAGACAGGCCCTGCTCTAAGCTCTTTTTATGGATCATCTCACTTACAAAGCTCATGAGCTCCTCCAGCCTGCTCATGGAAGACTGCAATGTTATTTGGAATTGCCAGGTACTGTGTGTTTTTCCAAGTACTTTACACAATTATCTCATTTTATCCTCACAATAACACTATGTGGTAGGGAGTATAATTACACCTATTTACAGATCAGGAAACTGAGACACAGAGAAGTTAAATGACTTATAGTCACATGGGGAACAAGTAGCAAATGGGGGTGATTTTCTTTTCTTCGGAAAGTTATTTTAACATTAGTATAATAATATTCTTACAGTGAACAAGAGCTGCCTTTGAGACACCCAGGTGCTTCACTGCCTGTAGATACTATGAATGGTAGTGCATGTGGCCGGCAGGCCTGGTGGACTTGGCATTTCTGGCAGTCAGGTAGTATCTATGACGGTTTAAAATCACATCCTCAAATTCTTTGACACCCTTTCAATCAAAAGGTGGACTGTAATTTCCTCCCCCTTCAATATGGGCAAGCTTCAGTGACTCCCTTTTAAGGAAGAGAAAGTGGCAGAAATGACACAACTACCTGCGTCCTGGATCCCAAGTGCTGCCTGACTCTTGAGGCTAGTTTTAAAAAGACAACTCTGCTGCCCTGGCTGGGTGCCTTAGGTAGTTGGAGCATCGTCCCGTAGGCTAAAAGTTCGATCCCGAGTCAGGACACATACCTGGGTGAAAGGTGCAGTCCCTTGTCAGGGGACTTATGGGAGGCAACTGATCAATGTGTCTCTCATGTTGATCTCTCTCTCTCTCCCTCCCTTCCTCTCTCTCTAAAATCAGTAAATGTTTATTGATCCTAGGGTGAGGATTAAAGATATACTTTAAAAAGACAACTCTTCTTCTGCCTGACTTGTTCTCTTGTGACACATGCTTTGGAGTTCTGATCTCTTTTCTGTCCCTGGAGCTTTGCCTTTTCCAGAATGTCACAGGCATGGAATCATCCAGTGTGTAGTCTGTTGTTTGACTTCTTTTATTTAGCATATTACTTTTGAGATTCAGCAGTGTTGCTATGTGTATCTGTAGTTTGGTCCTTTTTTAAAAAAATCTTTAATATTTATTTATTTATTTATTTATTTATTTATTTATAGAGAAAGGAAAGGGAGGGAGAAAGAGGGGGAGAGAAACATCAGTGTGAGAGAGAAACATAGATAAGTTATCTATTGTATGCTCCCAGACCATGGGCTGAACTCACAACCCAAGCATGTGCCTTGGCTGGGAATTGAACCTGCAACCTTTCACTTTGTGGGACTACACTCAACCAACTGAGCCACACCAGTCAGGGCTGTAGTTTGGTCCTTGTTACTTCTGAAGTGTTCTGTTAATTCACAGATTTGACATTTATTTGTCCATCCCATGGTTGGATATACATGGGTGCTCAATAAGTGGGTGTTGAGTGGCCAAGTGGATAAATGGAGGAAGAAAGGGGGGACTCCTTTGCTTTAAATCTGTTAAAGCCAGGCTTTGACAGGGTTTGGAAAAGGCAAGGTGATGACATTTTTTCAAGACTTATTTATCACTCATTAATTCCCAAATATTGATTATCTACTCTGTGCCAACTATTGTGCTAGGTCACAATAAACAATTCCTGCCCCCTTGAGAGCTGCCTGTTGAACTGAGAAGACAAATAACTCACCAAGCAGTTAACATCAGGGGAGATAGGTGCTGGCAGAAAAGAATAGCAGATCGCGGCAGGGAGAGGTGCACAGGAGGGTGAGGGTGGGAGATGAGGAGGGGAGGGCAAGGGTGGGTGGATGCGGCAGACAAGGATTCCCTGGGAAAGTCAAGGCCTGAAGGAGGTGGTGTTTGCTGGACCTTGAAGAAAGGAAGTGTGCCTGGCAGAAAGAACACGTGGAGCACACAGCAAGTTGGAGGAATGAGCCCAGTGTAAATGTGGCGAATGGTCAGATTTGGTCTTAGGATACATGCGGAGGGCCCATGTGCCACATCAATAAGTTTGGCTTTTATTTTAAAGATTGTGAGAATTCACTGAAAGACCATAAGTTGCGAAGTGATATAATTAGGGTCTTTCTACTTCAGAGTGGAGAAAGGATTGGATGTATGAGTGCAGGTAGGAAGACCAGTAGGGGGTGTTATAAGTATCTCAGGTAAAGGATAGTGAGGACCTAGGCAAAGGCAATCAAAGAAGAACATAGACCCACTTAGTGGTGGACTTGCCAGGATCTGGTGACTGACTTTATATGGGGAGAGGGGCAGAATGAAATAAGACTAGATCCCAGATTTGGAACTTGGGCAAATAAACAGGAGATAGTGCTAATCCCTGGAAGAGAGCATGCAAGGAGGGGGTAGGAGGTGTAGAGACAATGAGTGAGTAAATGTGAGAATAGTTTTTGTTGAAGTTAAAGGACCTGGAAGATATATAAATGCACAGTTCAGGAGGCAGTTGGATATTTTGGTCTAGGGAGGGAAACTTAGCCAGACATACAGATTTGGGAGATACTAGCATGGAGAGGGGAGTACGAGGTTGCCTGGAAATGAGTGAGGAGGGCCGAGGGCTCAAGACAGAGACCTGAGGAACATCAGGATTTAAAGAGGAGGCAAAAAGGTGTACAAGCAAGACCAAGGAAATGGCATGGAGATTAGAGGTGAGAACCAAGGCATATGTGGAGGAGCCAAGAGGGATCATGTTGACAGGAGAGGCACCAGGGCACCAGGAGGCACACTGCACAAGGGTCAAGTCAGGTGACCTGCAAGACTCAAGGATGACCAGTCCCTGATGATCATGAGATGATTCCTTTAGAGGAGTGGGAGGAGTGAAAGCCAGAGCACTGGCTGCTAAGGAGTGGGTAATAGGGGTGGAAGGGGAGACAATTGGTACTAACTTCTCTGCCTTGTAGTTTGTCTGTGAACAGGAGAGTGAGCTAAGGTTGGAGCTGGTGAGGACATGGCATCAAGGGAGGGTCTTAGATGAGAGAAGGTTGAGTGTGTTTAAGTACTGATTGGAGGGGTGTTTTGGTTATCCATTGCATGTAACAATCCACCTGAAACTAATGTTTAAAATAGTAACCATTTATTATCTCTCACAATTCTAGGACTGACTGCATTCAACTACTTCACCTGGGACTGCAGTCACCTGTAGATTTGGCTAAAACATTAAGAAGGCCCATCACATGGCTGGCAGTTGGTATTGGCCATTGGCTGGAGGCTTGGCTGGGACTGTTGACTGGAACTTCTTGGTTCTTCTCCATGTGTCCTTTCCACCTTGACTGGGCTTCTAACAGCATAACAGCTGGATTCCAAGAGAGAGTATTTCAAATATTCACTCCAAAGCAGAAGCCAGAGATATCTTATGATCTAGCTTTATAAGTTACACAATGTCACTTCTGTAGGCCAAAGCAAGTCAGAGGCCACCCCAGTTCAAGGGAGGGAGAAGATTCTATCTCTTGATGGGAGGAACTGCTAAAAATTTGGGCAATCTTTAACATATCATAGGGGAAGGTGAAATCATAAGGGGATAATTGATGGATTCACTGAGAAAATGGCAGGACTTGGGACCCAGGGCGCAGTTTTGGCTTGAGAGAGAAGAGGGCCTTGGAATGTGGATCTGGGAGGGTAAGGTCATCTTACATTTCATCAAAAAGATCTGAGCAGGGCAACAAGCTACAAGGTTCTAGGTTGTATAAACAACTTCAATTTTTCCTCCTCCCTTTTCAGGATAGATAGTTAAGTAGAGAGAAGTTCTCAAGAACAACACATATTATTGAGAGCTAATATGTGGCCTTCATCAATTCTCTCAATGGTCATATGAGGTCAATTGAGGTCAATGTCATGATGCCCATTTTACAGATAAAGCAACTGAGGCTCAGAAAATCTTTCTCTCTCTCTGAGTTTACATGAATGTGTTGATTATCTGCACATAAAAGATATTTGCTCTCTCCTATCTGAGGAGCATGAAGGTGTCAGAACAGTACCTTAAAGAAAGGAACCCATAATAGACATGGAGTGAAATTCTCATCCCAGCAGAAAGACTCAGGGAATGGGGGCATCAGCTCAGGCTCTGTCAGCCTGAAAGGTTCTTGGGATGGGATGGAGCCTGGGACTGTGAGATGCAAACCTCTCAGGACAAGAGGACAGGGAGGAAGAAGATGCTTGGCTGCAGAAACCAGGGGCTGGTGACCACCATTCTCACTACCCTAA